CCCCCCCCTCAACCACCCTATTCTCGGGTAATTTGTCCTCGTGGAAAATTGAAATCCTGTATAAATCGTGCAATTTCCGACCCAATGTTTTCGTCCTTATGAAATCATCTCTCCCTTGATAATTAATGACTTCGCAGCCTCCACTTTGCGTTCCAAAGAAACTTGTTTCCAACTACATCCAACTTATCAATCCCTAAAACTCTGAGTATCGATATACGTGGTTCAAATGATCAAGAGATTAATGTTGACAGTTGCCAATTCGTAACGTAAATTAAAAATAAATTACCTAAACAATCAGTAATAATAATTGGATCCCTAAACAAGTCAGGACCGTCCAACGTTCCCCGAAAACACATGACTTTCCCGGTGCTAAATGGGCGGGCCGAAAGTGACATGGGAAGCGGTAACGAGCGTCTCGTTTCGCTGTTTTTGCAGACAGTCAACAATCCGTGAAATTAGAACTTTTTTGTCTCACTGTGGTTAAGACCTAAGTGATGATGACATGTGATTTCAGGATTCACAATAAACTTTCTACCCGGTTCTAAATCTTCACGCCTACGTACACATAGAGACTTTGTCGATTCGTGTAAAACGACAAGGGATGACGGTGATTCATCCCTTAGCGAGTGGATGATCGAACCTGGTCGAAATGACTGCGCGAAAAAAAATTCATCTCGATGAACAGGCTGTCTTCGGCTAATTCGACTTAACCGGCGGGGGTTTAAATGATGACTCGGGGGTGGATCAGTTTTTGATTGGACTCCGACGGTGTCTGGCAATACCTGAGGCCAATCGGACGTCCTGCTGAGGGTGTCGCGCGACTTCGCATACATCCCTCAGGATTATCAGGGCTGCGCTCAGTCAGGATAGGTAATTGATTTCATTTAAATGACTTAAACGTTTTATTAGCTTAAATGGGTGCCGAGTCAGGTCCCAATTTGGTTCGTCTTGATGGTATTGATCTTGTATCAGTGTAAACCTTGAAATACTAAAGATTCTTTATATATGCGTATGTCTCGTATACAGAGATATTTATGTATGCTATGTATGGAGATAGGTAGTCACGTGGGCGATGATCACGCTGGGTTATGTCACAGGAAACAGGTCCTGGACCAAGAATAAAATATCGGAAGGTCAAATGTGTCGTGTTTACGAGCAGGATGGATCCTTGATGGTCCGAGGAGACGTCCTGCTGCCTCTATGAAACACCTACGACTTTACCAAGAAATAATATTGAGTGTTGGAGCGCGAGTCGAAGTGGGCTTTGAATGGAATAATAGGTGGAAGAAAAAGCTAGGAAAAGAGGAAAAAGTGAAAAGTACCGAGTGGAGTACAATGGGAAATAGTAGATGAGTCATTAGAAGAAGAAAAAAATGATACAGTGGCAATGATCCGTCAAATTATGGCTTGAATTTCAAAAAGGGAATAGTGCACTTCTTTCGTTGAGGCCCAATGGTACCTCGGCCAGATATAAATGGGGTCCTACAACCCGCAGTTTACCTGTCGATACCTTCACTCTTCTATTATTCTCTGAGGTGAACACGAGCCGCCTGCTGATGTTGGATCACGCCTTCAGGATCCGGGCATATTATGGTATTGGCTTGAATTTCTTTTTCTTTCTCCCTTTTCAAATTTTTTTTTTTTTGAAAATTGTAAAGGGTACCACAGGACCCGCACCTGTTACCGGCTGGGACCTATGACTCTAAGATCCACGTAATTCTATGTGTTTAGGAGAGTTTTTCGGATACCTGCTTGAAATTTGAGTCCCCTTTACCTGAGTGGATGGGACCCAATCTCTTCCACGATGCCCAAAACTTGGGTATTGTTCGTCGAAACGAAAGTGCATTGTGTACTAACGACTTTGGTTACACAGGTATTTATGGTGGATAAGGCCCCCAAGTGTCAAGTGCCAATTGGACAGGTGCAAAAAGTCACGCTGATCCATGTCAAAACCCAAACCGAAACAGATCCTCAATATTTAGCAAGACTCTTTTGTGTGCGAACCAAACTTCGTGACCCAGCCACTCCTCCGAGGGTCCCAATTTTCATGGTATACAGCAAGCAATTAATTTTGTCATTACTCACCCTCAGAGCAGCTTGAGGATTTTCCTTCGGTTACGTTAGTGCTTCGAAAAGTCAATGAGTAATTAGTTTCTATTTCTAACAGAAAATACGTTCAATCCGATTTTTTGAATCTATCGGATATCCTTGATTTTTCACTTAAATAAAACCGGATTTTCACAACGACTTCGAAGTCCGTAAACTTCGGGATGGCAGCTGCCACAAAACTGACCTGCCCCTAAGGCTTTCATAGTTTCGTTTTTCTCACCCCTCGCGCACACGAACACACACATGGGGGGGGGGACACACATGCATCAACGCCTACTGTATGCTTACTCACACGTGCTCAGACGTTTTCATGCACGTTGAAAATTCTCTCGGAGAGACTCTTACGCTTCTTCTGTCCTGCGTCAAGGAACTCGAAAAAAAAAAAAGTCCGAACCGGCCTCACCCGGACTTTTATCTTTGGCTGTCTAAAGTCCCGTAGGGCTTCGTATTTGGTTAGTGCCACGTCGAGACTTGGAGTCTTAACGCACTTCTCTGATATCAGAAACAGAGCGAAGGAGAAAGAGAGAATTCAAATTCCATTCTGATCAAAATCCGGTCTTGGCTATATAGACCCACTACGAGCACTATCCTAGAGATGCACCCGAGAAAAACTCCTGGTCCCACGAGGTTAGGGGGGCCCGATGAGATTAGTGGGATCCTGACGAATTAGGACTTCGTTATCCCGTGTGAGCCTTTCGCTTATGCTAATTAAACTTCGGCCCCGTAGAGGCTGAGACTTTCCAAAATTTATAGGAAGCCGGTATACGCACAGAGACACCGAACGCCTCCTTTCTCTCTTTTCTTCGGCCTTTTTTTGTCACGGAGCATTAAGGCCCTGCCCTGTGTGTAAGGACTGCGGCAGTTATTAATCATGAGCGACCCTTTGGGAGTTTCTTGAAAACCTTTGATAATCTTTTACCCTATAGTTTTCTTATTGCATGCACGTACGTATTACGTATACAGTCAGGGCTGGTGAGCCTGACTTTACGGTTGCATTATCTTCGTGAACAAGAGCGGCTTCTGTTTTATTCCATCCAGCAGGATCATCGGGACTCATAAGAATTGTCTAGTTCCACCGATTTTCAACGATCGGGCAATACTAGGAAAAACAATGAAACGTGTTGATCGATCAGGAGACCGAAAAGACGATGAACGTGCACGAGTGCCGGAAACACGTTGTTACGTCTATAGGATCGATCGTGGCATACAAAAGAGCGCCTATGCTAGGACGTCACTTCGACAATATGCTGATACATGTTCTTGTAAATTTTCAAGTAACTGCCAAGATTATCTGTAATTACGGGAATCGGCGAAATTTTATTAGTTCATTTAGGAAATCTCGTTTATACGCGTGTATATATATATTAGGTGCAAAACTTGTTTCAATTGGAAAAGCCGTTTTAAAATTCCCGCTATATGTCGCGATATACGCTGATACGATGATACGTATATACTATAGATATACGTACAAGCTTGTATATTGTACACTGTACGTATTTATGTTTTAAGCATAGTATCTCTTTAAGATAACGAATACACAGTGTCTTATACGATATAGAATTAGAGGCAAAATACAAGGCCCTTATCCTTGGCTAGAATAGAAAGAAAAAAAAAACGGTTGAGATTTAAGAGGCTTACCAACTTTCTAGTTAGCCGAATGCATAAACTGGGTCTTATAGGATGTCGGCTTGTCTCTCCGTCTCTCCGACTGTCTGGGACCCGAGCTCCGTCTATAAACTCCCTGAGGATGAAAAAAACACACAGTATGAGAGAGAGAGAGAGAGAGCGAGAGAGAGAGAGAGAGAGAATTCGAGAAGTTAGAGTTCATGGATAAGGCCCAAACAGAGAGGGTTGTAAGATTCGAAGATAGAGAGAAAAAGCCAAGCCTAAGAGGGGACCCAACGTTTTTGGACTAGGCATGGCGTTAGCTACTCCAATCCTCCTTGGCAGGTGGATGAGCCTTAGATAGAAATTTCCATGTAACGTGTGTCTCAAGACGAACGGAAGTCGGTGCCTCCGAGGCACTCCCGATGAACTTTCCATCCGTGGGCCTTACAATCCAGCCGCCATAACCGCTTCATAACCGTCCGCGGTCCCAGGTAGCTTCCCGAAATTGAAATTCTCAACTGGCCGGACACTCACCTGTCCCCAATCGACTCTGACCACCTCCCGGAATCCCAATTTATTCTACCTAGATCCCTCGACACGTAAGGCCCACCATATAAGTCCCAACCATTCGACCCCTTTCTGTCCCATCTCCCTAACGTTAACACCCTTCCCACTTATTTCCGAGCCCTTCGGGAATTTCAGCCAGTCCGTTTATCGTAACCCGCACTCCGGAGGCCCCGCTATTCTAACCACTGAGCCAGATATAGACACTACCGCACCAACACGAGCACCCAAAACACACCCAGCCCTTAATTTTCAAAAGAACACGCGTGCACGCAACCTGACCACACGCGTTTAAAACCCTCGAGAATCCCAGCACCCTGTCTGGTGTCTGGACACGGGACGACCAAGGTTTCTTGGGAATTCTGTTTAGAGAACTGTAGTTTCCCGTTAAGGGTGAAACTCGTCTAGACATAACAAACCCTCATCAAGTACACGTTTACGTTTTAACATTTTCTATTTTACCATTTTTTTTTATTTACATAAGTTTTTTCATGTTTCCCATTTCTCCATCCTCGTCCGTGTTGATTCTACCCGTACGCGCCTTCTGTCTTCGGCAGTGCGCCATCTTAACAGTCTGTCGGTTGACGTTGCATTCTTTCCATAGTCCAGAACTAATATGGATGAGCCAGCAACTACGTAATCCAGAAACCAGTTGCCATTTCCGTCACGGACCAGTTTGCATTGTTCACAATATGCAACGTATCGGCTGACTGAGTCATCCAATTGTAAACGTTCATTACATATTCACGTCCTTGCATTCCAATTTACGAATACGCAAGTAAGATTCCAGCTTACCTCCTTATGCCGCGTCCCCACTAAAAACGTCCGTCGCGATTGCCCATGACAATGAACCAAGAGGCGCAATCGGCCGAGCGTAAAATAATTTCACAACTTTTCCACCAGATAGTACGTCGTTGTCCAGCCTGGAGGAGTTTCAATAGGTTTTACAGCGCGGAAATCGCGTTCCCGTAGTGCCAACGTAAAACGCAAAAAGAAGCAGGCACTTCGACACTGGATCGAAGTCGTAAAACGCAAAGGGCGTCTATGTGCACGTGTATATCTGTACCTTGGTACAAGCAGCGTAAAAAGGTCAATACGAGATCGTATTTTCACGTGGACATCTTGACGGTTTAAAAACTTTTTTTTTTATTTTCGACTCAACAAACATCACAGCGAATGTTCACCACCGGGATAACAGAAATGCCCAGTGATAAGGACCGAACATAACCTCGCGAAGTCCCATCAATTTTCCTATCCAATTTCCCAAGTACGTAAACTTTGGTTTTCAAAGGGATTCAAAGCCTTGGATTGAGGGATCATTACTTTGAGTCAGTAATGGCCCAAGTCACCCCAAGGGCTCAAGTGATTAGAGGCGACCTAGGCTCCTAGTTACCAATATAGAATGACAGGAGTACCAACTAAAAAGCGGCCGTTAAGTAATTAATATTAATCGAACGGATGCAGCCTGGCGACATCATCGGAAATTTCACGTAGGAAACTGTCAGCCTTGATAACACAACAAAGAATAGTCACTCGACTGACCGTCAGGTATACCAACCGTGACGCACGCGTGAATAAAATCCAAGTCAAATGAGAGAAGTGCGCCTTTGCACCTGTCATTGATCACACGATGCACTCGCGCTAATTAATATGCATCCCGAGGTGTAAGATAACTCGGTATTGATAGGCTTTTTTTTCCCTCAACATGCACAACCTGCATTCGGTATATATCGTTGGCACACCTGCCTCAGCGGCTTCAAAGACAAAGAATCTATTCATACCGAAGACCTTTCGTTTTTTAGTCTATTAAAAAAAAAAAAAAACGTGGCTATAGCCATTCAACGTTGAAGCAACAGCGCACGCTGGTATCACGTGACTCGGAAAAAAGTAAGATGAATGCCACGAGATGCATACGTATATCGTTATAGTCTAATGCCCATAAAAGTCGAGGATAATGAAAAATAATTATTAAAATTCTATCTTAATTCCAGGAATTTTAGTATCCAGTGTATTGCGACGATTGGAGATCTTGCTTCAAAGACGTACAGGGAGGGAGGTCGACTGTGGTTTATGGGGGTCGCGTTCCTACTTGTGCAACAACCTTCGTAGCATTTCGTAACACTTCGCGGTTAAAGTGTTACACGGATACATACAAGATGTCTCCTTTCGTTCGCGCTCGGAGCTCTTGTGAACATCTTGGAATGTGTGTATGCCTTGTCCGAGTCCCTCATCGCTGCTCCTCCATCACCATCCGAAGACGTTGTTCGAAACTGATCCGAGCCTACGGTATTGTACCTATCGAAATGTAGCTGCTTGTACAGCCTGACGTTTACATGGAGATGGTTTAGCGAAACGACGAAAGAATGATCTGTAGTCGGAAATTATTTCCTTGTGAAAGGTTTGGGATTGGATATAAAAAATATTTGGAGAAGAATGTCAAATTAAAAAAGAAATACTTACCAATGAATGAGTTTCTTTTAATTTATTCTCGTTATGTTCAATGTTGCCTGTACGAGTGATTTTATTATTGTTATGATATATTCAGGGACATTGCTGATCGGTATGTGAAATCGGTTATCTTAAGTGAGAATGAGCATTTCCACGATAGGGTAGCAATTATGTCGGGTTACCAGTGTATCATTACTGGGGCCTGGCAGCTGCACGTAATTGCGCCTATTCGTGCCGAGCACCACGTACTTTCGATTGATTTACAAAGTATTAATTGGCTGATAATTGGCGGGACCCGCGATTCCTCGCGTAATTGAAAACAAGCGGGTATGGAGTATGATTGTAAAGGTAGCCCATGATGATAGCGATGATAATTCCCAAGCGATAAGTCCTGTAATTTATAATCAATTGGAGCAAGGTGCTACTGGTTTTGTGCCAGTTTGCGCTATCAGACATTATGTTCTGGGTATTTTCACATACACGATCAAGAATTTCTCGTCGCTCGACAAATAAGGAATTTCTTCATCAATATTCAAATTTTTTAATAAATTCTTGATTCATGCATTTTTTTTAACAATTCAAACATCATCTTTGTCTTGCATAATTGAGAATAATGCACTTTTAAGTTAATTATTTTTAATTTATCGAGTTTCAGCATCAATCCTGCGCATATTGAATACCAAATAATGTTATATAAAATTTAATAATATTTTGCTCAGTTCTGACGAATTTCCACGTTAAATTCATATATCGTGTATCATGACTCGTACCGATTTTATACGAAACTTCTCGACAATCATCGTAATCAAAAATTTTACATCACCCTATCAATGATTTTCAAAAATTAATTTTTCATTGCTTCCAAATTTTATCACAACCATCAATATAATTCAATATCAATATTTCTATACCAGTATAGACGTAGCAATAATATTGAACGATCATTCAATAAAATATATTCAGATCCAAAATATCCAAGTCATTCAATGATTTTGACAAGCATAACGACTTTCTCTGGAATAGTGACACAATCGTTAATAACGGTTCGGAAGGTATCCAACTCCACTTTGAGAAGTCAATATCAGACATAATGAACCTACCGAAGAAATTCCATATATATATATCCAAACACTTGTTCCTTGACACATACCCATACGATCACACGATCCCTGCTAGCACAAGTCATCATGGATATGCAGAGAGGCGTGGAGTGGTTCTGCTCCGATAACACGTTGATGGAATGAAGAGAAGAAAAGGAAGAAAAGAACTAGAAAAAGTAGCCAAGTAGCGTGTTGGGCACGCACATGATAGGGTTCCGCAGTAATTCTGTAGTGGCCATTATTATTTTTTTTGTACGATTTAATGTACTTTATAGAAATCTGAATCGCTATCATAACTTATTTATTTCTTTTGCAATAACAGTTATTTTATCTTGACAAATTAGCTTTTATCTGAAAAAGAGTTATTCTTATATTTTTCGTAAATTATTTTTGCTACAGTGTTCGTTATAATTTTGATTAAGTATACTGATTGAAAGCTACATTTTGGAATTTCTTCAGATTTTTGCATCGATGGTTTAGAAATTAGAGGGGGGGGACACTCTGATAACGACTTTGAAAGCACATATTTCGTGACTGAAAGGTTAAAATGAAAGGGAACATTTGAAATTGCATTTGAGGAGACCTATTAGAACTCACTCGATGGGGTGAACAAAATATTTCGAGTTCACTTTTTTAAATGTTATCATTTCTATTTTTGGATCATCGATCTACGTCTGTGTACCAAATTTTATCTTAATCGGTCCATAAATGAGAGAATGGGAGACCTGTGACATACAGACAGACGGACGGACAGATCGAAACCACAATGGTTCCTAGATTTCTACAAAACCCTAAAAATAGTCGAGTAACAATTTGTTACGGATATTTCCGACTCTCATAGTTTAATCTATTGATAATAATTGCCACCTTTCCGGATGATTTATGTCCCGACAGAAATGGCGGCTGACTCGGGGGCATACAGGTTTTGTGTACGTGCCAGTAGTCGCTTGCATTGAGAATCAAGCATTACGCGCTGGTTACATATTTATTTAGCTGTACTAATAAGCTCCAGTTAACCAGTCAGCCAATGCCGTAAGGGCTGCCACCTTAAAGGTATACCAATTCGTTAGGTTAGGCTAGAAAACCCATATGATATTCCATTGGTTGACTGGTCCATTCCCTAAGGACATTATGACCACCTAGGGTGAAAGGGATCGTCATTTATCCCCGAGGAAACTCGAGACCAGCTTATCCAACGAGTACAGCTCGTTCGAGGTAATTAAAAACTTAAATCCTACGCGATGATAAATATCACGGAATAAAAACGATAAACTTTAATCCGATCAGAAAATACTGTCTTTTTGTATTTATAAACGAGCACACATACGTATACACTTTTTTATAAAAATCACCGAAGATCGATTCACGCTTAATCCAAACCGTCCAGCAATGGGATAATTGAAAAGATAACAATGATTATCTCCTATCTGTTCGCCGTAAGATAGCTTCGGTAGATAAGAAACGATCTAATTAACAAGTACAAATTTTATTCAATTTTTCAAGGACACTGTCACGTGACTCGGCACACCAGTCACCATGGGTGAACACCTAGTATAATGTATTGCAAAATTAATTATACCCACTGTCAATTATATTCACGCCGGTTACGTAACGATTGTCAGTCGCACAAGAATCGCTATACTTGCAAATTGACGATCGTCCCAGTTTCGCGCGAAATTATTCCGAATCGCATAACGAATCCATGAATTATTTTCGCCCACATTAAATTGTCTCTTTAATTTATAAGACACGTGGCATGTACCGCACACTGAAAATCGGATACATAAATGCATATGTACAGTCAGGTAAAATTATATTTCACATATGTCCACGTGTTACTGTCACTAAACTTCTATATGTATCGTCGCATATGTATACGTATACAAATATATAAAGTTAGATTCGTATGGCATGCCGATATACAGGGTTGGCGCAAGTCACAACAGAGTCTCTTGATTAATGCTATCAAATCGAATCATCTGGCAGTTGCATATTGGAGCCACTAGCTGCATTCTTACTGCGTTCTTCGAGATGATTGCCTCTCAGAATTCTGCGTTCCTATTACCTTCTCAAGTGAACGCCACTCACTCGTCCCGGATTGGCTGGCTTCTTCGCATGCTTGTTTGTTTAGTTACGTCAGGGTAAGATATAGGTAGGGGATCTAGGAGAAGGGTCCCGAGCTAATACGGAAGGTTGCGAATGTCGGTTAGATAGCAGATGACAGAGGAAGAAAATTACGAGACGAAAGGTACGAGGAGCACCCTGGGAAGTACGATAATGGAGAAGAAGCGTGGACGAAGCGGAGGCGATGAAGTCGTTCTGATTTTTAAGTACCGAGACCTTAATGTTAATAGCTTAAGTCAAGCCGTAGGAAGATGAGTACCACGTGACTCACACTTCAGCGAGTGCGTACGAAGCGTAGATGAAGTGGAGACGATAGAGTAACTGGAAGGCATGATTCCGAGAACGTAAGTATAGTTAATAGAACGTGCAAGTAGGTTTCAATAAGGATGAGTCGGGACTTCCGCTTCGCGAGGTCTGGATCAGCTTGGGATTAACATTATGGATGATTTAAAGAAGCATCAGGCGTGGCATAAAATTCAAGATAAAGAAAACAAGTATCCAGATGGCATCCATGTAGAAGATTTTTACGAAGGTTAATCTTGGCTGAAGTTCAGTTTAAGATAGAAGCAGAAAATGTCCCTAGGCAAATTCCAAAGGAGCCATGACATTTTAGCACCTACATGAAGCCTGCGCACACCCAAGCATTGTCAGTGCAATTTACACTTGTCAATTACCCAGACTACACGTAACAGGCTAATGACAAGTTGGAAAATGATCGAATAAAAGGGCAAATGGATGTAGCGTATTGTCAATGGCTTCGAGGTATAGTTAGTTGGGAACGTGGGCGGAGGATAGTCGGAAATATGTGTATGTCCTTATGTTAAGTGTTAACTCGGTACCACCAGGTGTGCCAAGCGCTGGCTACGTCTTACATCACTCAGCATAAATATGCATTGAGCCGCACCGCCGGTTGAATAATGAAGAACGACCGCGTAATTAAGTAGTCGTTGTTTCAGAACCAGTCAACCTGGATCAGATCATTCAGCTCTTGGAATAGTGATTAGAAACTGGTAAGGAATGCATATTCAAAGCATGCCGTAGGAAGGGTCACTTCAGTCTTGGTCCGTTTCACTTCCGTCAGATCAGTTTGGAGCAGCGAGTTCGGCTGTGTACAAAGCTTCAAGAGAGCGATACGGGGTAGTCCTGCCTTAAGGGGGCTGTACCCAAATCCTGTACCTTAATCCATCAAGATCGATGGGTCACTTCGGTAATTACTGCCAATCCCATCGTGACTTGACGCTCGCAACTGACTGGGGGCCATTAGCATAATCACATTATGAGTGCATTCTAGGCGCGTGTAGGCGATCGCGAGTGGGATAGCGTAGAAGTCGAGCCTGAAGAATGGCATTCCAGGTACTCGACAGAGAAGAAAATTTTCCAGTCCCCATTATCGTCGGGTAATGATAATGATAGCCAAGCGTCGCGCTCGCAGCGCCAACTAGTGGCAGTTCCGAGAGAAGGTCGATTAATAACGTCAAGAACGCCACAAGAGTCTTCTCCGTTAGACCTAGCCAATTCCATCTATAAAAAAGGGAATAGTCTCAACATGTTCATCAACATGCTGGCTTTGCACACGAGCTAAATTACTCCTGAGATAAGGTAGAGAGTCGTACCAACCTTCACTACATACCCGTAACGTATAAGCGTGTCTCTGATCTACGGCGAGGGGCTATGAGAATCTAAACTAACAGAAAAGAGGAAAAGGAAAGACTTCCGATGAACCTAGCACTGTACTCCCAACATGAAAAGTGATGAAGAAAGAAAGAAAAGAGACATAACTTTCACTTCGACAACTTCTAAATAATACGCTACCCATTGGCGTAGATTCCAAAACTCACAGAGAAGTGTCAAATAAAATGTGGAATTTACAGTGTACCTTGTGGCAAAAAAAAGAGCAGTGGTGTCACAACGCGACGCATAAAGCTCACCCTGTTTCCAAACGTCAGTCCAAAGAGCTGGAGGACGTGGCTAATTGGTCAGTATACGGTTGGTTCACCCGAAATAGTCTGCGAGGATTTCAAAGACGTGGATAAATACTAACGAAGTCAAAGTAGCGTCAAGGGTCAGGTGACCTTTGACTTGACTAGGTTAGGTTAGGTTCCTCTGGGTATTTGCAAGGAGTATACGTAATCAGATCAGCAGTGACGTAGGCAATGTTTATACGACGGTTAAGTCACTAAAGAGGGAAACTAACCAATTTAAATTAGTCCAATTCACACGAGCCAATCGATATGTATGACATGTGGAAATTCAAACGCGTTTCGTGATTTTGATTCCGGATACCAAATCCCCTCTATCCACAGACTCTCAAAGCCTGGACTACCTGATGGCAACACGCATCAGTTCCCTCGGTCACGTGTGGACGTAGCTTGTCGATCTGCGTCGTGTAAAGTCTGGTGCACCCTTACCATTCAACATCGTGTACCACCATTACTGAAGCGATCGATCCTATCTGTGTAGGGTTACGTGCGTGAAGTGATACTACAGTGGTTGGCACTACTGTTAGTACTACCTAGTACTATCGCTATTACCACTACTACTATTGCTTCTTACTGGTACTAATACCGACACATGGGGAAAAAGGTTACGAGCACAACCTATGACGTTTATCATTCCTATCGGAATCCAAAGTATTTCCAGCAAGTCTACCCTCTTGCCTATCTGCCCAAAAAGTCGTAAATAAGAAAAAGGTACGTGTGGGACCTGGGAGCGAGTTAACTTGTTTTAGGAAGAAAATTCTCAAAGAATTCTCGAAGCACTGACGTGGAATTCCAGTTAAAGTTTTATTAGAGTCCTTCGATGTTCATCACTTTTCACGTTCGATCATTACGTAAGCATTGACTGACTAATAGAATAGTTGAATTTCAATAGTTGAGTAGGTGCTACCATCTAGACGGTTACGAGCGGAGTTAACGCTGTGCTTGTAGTCTGCTTACAATATCCGAAGGGTTGAAATCCGAAAAAAAAAGTGAATTAAAATGTACAAGCGTGAAATATGTGGGAGTGTAGCTACCTATAGTGGCAAATCTTGACGTAGCTTGAAGACTAACGATCTGAGTCTGAAACCCAACAATGGGGATTATTAGCATTGGCTGAGCCGAGCAGGTTGATATTGGGTTCTCAGTCCCCGACATATTGTAATCACGCTCATATATTGCTCCTCCTGGATGCAACCCTTCCATAGACTCCCAGCATCGTTCCCCTCGCCCCCCTCTCTCTACGTCTATATCCTCTACCCAGTGGCACCATCCCCGAGTTTACTCTCCACCAATCCTCTCTCTTCTTCAGCCCTCCTCAGGATCAATCGATCCTCCGATAACTCGATAATATTACACGCGAAAACCGCTTCCGACGTGCCCGTCCAGTCAGCGAGCCACTTGTGCGAGCAAATAACTAGTTATCGGAAAACTGATTTTATTTTCGAGCGGTGGGGACCCTTGTAATCTTCCCTCGCTGCCTCTCACTTCATTTATTTATTTATATGAAAACAGTTTTATTTTATATATATATATATATATATATCTCCATTTAAAATATCCGAGTTGAGATATGGTTTACTCCTAATCGCAATGTAATGCAATTTATCGCTGCGCCATCCTCGTGTCATTGACTTAAGGATGGTCCATCGACGTTACACCCAATCGATTGGAACTTGTAAGAATTTTGATGAAATATTGTCTCTAACTGATTTCGCTTCTTTGTGAAGATTTCACAAGAAAGGGAAGTTACGTATTGTTATTGAAGGAAGTCATTCTCTTTCTCACTCTCTTCCTGGAGCGACGTCGTAAACATCGTGGTATAACTTCTGCAGGAGGGTTCGCCGAGAACAACCCTTAAACGTGATGCATAACATAGGGGTGGTTACTCGCGAAGGAATGAATGCCATTACTGGAAACGTTACTCGCTAGATTTGTTTTGGCTCGCCGGTCCGACGGCCTCCGTCGTCTCCTGGCACAGGAACCCGACGACTTGTCGATGCCGACGCCAAAGCTGCCATCGTCTCACGTGGCAGTATCAAGCGTACCAACAAATTCAACCGGCATCCCGTCTCCTCTGAACCCATTTTCCCTATTTGCAGATCCTGAAGGAAGTGGCTGCAGCGCGTGACGAACAGCTCAAGGAATTGGCTGGTCTGTTCTCTTATCTTCAGGAGCACCGCAGCCTCCAGGGTTACGAGGAGGTCCAATCACCAAGGTGAGTAATTTTTATTAAACGCCTAAATTCGAGTTTTATTAATCGATAATTGTATAGGATAAATATCAGGTATTGACTTTCGATCGATTTTTTTTAAAAATATCTCTTTACGTACCGGTATGCTTATTCTTTTGTACAAAAGAATTCCTTTCGATTCTTGCCAATGATTTAAGACCTTACGTGTTTAATGGTACAGGATGTTTGAAATGCTTGGGTCTTATTGTACATTATTCCTATGTGCTGTATGCATTCACCTAGTGTACCGTACTAGAGAATCTTGAGCTCTGCCAAGACGGGAAAGAGAGAATCAATCGCGACGATTGGAGCAAGCTGATTGTGAGTGCACTGCCGGCTGGCGTCTTGAGATTCCCAATGTAATTTCGCAATGTATTGCCAACCCCTAGGAAAGGTAAGGTAGCTTCGAAAGACGGCGATCTTTGTGCACTAGATCTCTCCTTTGCTTGTTCCACTGATAGAGGATCTTGGTGGGGGGTCTGAATTCCTGAATTGGATTCGTGGGATTTTCACTGGACATTTTCCATCAGAATCTACGAGTCCTGATCGACCTTGTATAAACGAATGTCATCCATTTGGTTAGCAGTGACGTCAGTACCCAACACTGTAAAAATTATCAGCGTAATACCAACTTCACGACGTGATACGATGACTTGATTGTTCGCGACATGAGATCGACGATGATTAAGGCACGAGATAAGTAATGGATTTAAAAAATGTGAAAAAGAAGCGGTACCAATATACGAAGCGTCCTATCGTAATACCAACCCCCAGGACAGAATAATAACTTCTATAAATTCTCGTGCGTGTAATTTATCGCCTAGAACCGGCTCGTATTTCTAATTAGATCCATGTAGCGCAATTAGTAGGACAAGCAAGAGTCTCTTCTTCGTGGGGAATTATATACTGTATCCAAGCCAATCCCATTATGAGCCGTAAGACCTCAGAAGGATGCTGCGTGCCAATCGTCTTCTGGTACTAAGTTTTTCTTACGTTCGCTGACTGACTGCCTACCTCTGCCATAGGCATAACGGTCTCCGCTATAGCAATAAACCTGACCAGAGTTCTGCTTTCTTCCCTGGGGTGATACACTCGTACTGCATTCGCTGTTCATGATGCTGATCACGATGACGATCATCATGATGATGATGATGATCAGTATCGGCCATACTGACTAGCGCACGTCAAGTCCTTTACTTATCGAATTCCGCTTCCGTTATCAAACACAATAAAAATATCTTAAGGCCAGTTCACAACATGCAGTCTTATCGTTGGAATGGATTAAACGGTGTTTCATTTACAACGACGATGGGAAGGGTCTGCGCTAGGAGTCATTAGCACGACCAGGGTGGGCTCGGATACAGTTGGCCAACTTGGTGCGACTAATAAATCAAAATGGCGAAGGGCGTTTGCCCAGGGTGTATCAACGATTCTCCATGCGTGCTCCGGTTACTTTGTGTATGATAATCGTCGTGAATTAAGTGGAGTAAATCAAGGTGCCTTCGCGAATACATCGCGATCGCCATGACGGTGGGTCTCGCTGGCATCCAGAGAGAGTGCCTGAAGTTGGCGTGATTCGATCGCGTAAATAATAATTAAATGGCCGTGGCTGTGCATTAAGAGTCGGCGTATTCGCATTTCAGGATTATCACGATGAGCATCAATCTTAATTACTCGCTGAACATTCGCCATTATTACTGATAATTAGCGCAGCTCAGTAGTCTAGGGTCTGATTCAGTCTAAGTCATCCTGATTTGAACGCGCGGAGGAAGTGGCTGTCATTTTTTTTCCTTTTACAGTACCCTAATTTCTTCAAGTACTTTCATGCAACTTGAAGTTGGTTCCTTGGCAAAGTACTGGTCTTTATCATTGTGTCGGATTGAAATTATTATAACAGAAGGGCATCCCGTCGTATCCTGTGCGGAAACCGTAAACGGTCGATTGACCGTAAATCAGCAGGATGATTGACAAACTGACCCTCCGTTCCATGAGACATCAAAGGACAGCTGCACAAACGGTGTACGAAGGAAAAACGGTCGCGTCGCGACGCCTACCTTCGTGTCGCGTATCGTCCCGATCACCATCCTCCGGACCTAACTTGTCCTCCTTGCGGTGACCGAGCCGGAAACGTTCACACGAGGATGGAATAGCTCGGCACCGTCGGGATAATTACTATTCCCCAAGGATCGCGAAGTTTATTGAGCAAGAACGGGACTTCCGCCCTGGAATCAGATACGGCTACGTTTAGGTTAGGTTGGCACGCATGCATAGCATATGTACGCGGCGGTGCTGCCACGAAGGCACTGCGGCGAAATTACAAAGTGGATCCCGACTGCGTGCGCTCTCTGTGATTTGTCCTGACTCGCGAATGGGTCCAGGTCAAAGGTCAGGACACACATGAATACATAAAACGGCAAAGCGGGGCCTCGAACCGATCGACGCGACCGACGTGGCTCCGCGCTGTGTTTCACGTTGTGAACTCGACTTAACGGTCTTTGAAAAAGCACATGTGGGACCAATCAGAAGCTAGGACGAGAGCTCTTGGAAATTGGCAATTATTGCAACCCATAACTATAGCCTATACTAGGCTCGAATGCTGCGCTATGCACTTTATCGGGAATAAGGCCCCTGCGCCATCCTGTATATATAGTGTCTGTCGTTATAGTACAGCCCGTGCGGCTATAATTATAAATTAGAAATCGAAAATATCCGCACTCCCACGCCCGTTGCATTCTTCCTTCGCCTTAACAATACAACCTGATCCAATGCATCAGCTGGCGAATTGCATCGGGCACGGCCGGAAGTGCACGGAGCGGAAGCTTCCCGAGCACGGTCCCAACAAGATAACGCTTAACGTATAAGTTTAATCGGATAATTAACTTATTACAGAAACTGTCGTTAAACACAATTCGCCCATCATGCCCATTGCCGCTACATCATCCGAACCAAGTTATCAGGCCCATCAGTTCCAACCTTAATGGATGAGAAGGTGAAGGCTTATCAGTACGCACGAAACGAAACATAACCCAAACCCAAATTAATCATTCGAAAGTCCCAATGAAACGAGGTCCCATGAGAATCCAGCTAAATCGACGTAACCTAAACTCGCGTATGCACATGGGCAGCGTAGCTATTGTTAAAAAAAAAAAAGAATCGACAACGATACAGGTGGATCAGTCGCATCTGTAGCACGAGAGGTACCACGTGGGAACATTAGGTCCGCTTTCGGTTCGAGCAACGCCCAACAAACTGGTTCCTTGTCCTCTTCTTCTTCTTCTGCCTCCTTCGCCTCCTCTCTTTACGATGCACTTCATCCTGATTCTCCGCCACCTTCGCTCCCCACTTCGTCCCTGTCCGGTATCGAACGCCAGTCGCGCGCCTCTCGCTCACTCCCACTGGCTACTAAATCCAACAGCACGTACAGTGTCTCCCTCTGCCTTCACGTATATCCACCAGAGTTTTATGAGTTTCTAATGAGAAGGGGTTGTGTTAGCATACGGAGCCAGGCTAAGGCCGAACCCTTTCCCAAGCAGATGGCCGCTTTATTACTTTTCATCAGAATGTTTATGGCTCGGCCATACCGTGAACGATCTAACTCCTTAAGCCTGGTATGGCACTGCCATCATAGACCAGCCTAGATACTCTCCTACAATTATTGACCAAAGATATAAAATAGGTACCATTGAACAAACACGTTCATAAACGTTATAAGACGACCCATCGTAATATATTCTAATGTACCATAAAAAATTGATTAACGAAACGTCCAATCACCTGCTCGGTCCGTCGATTGTCATACCGGTACGGCTTTGGTATAACCTAAATTCAACGTTAAGCGCTTACTCCATATATCGCAAGAGATAGACCTGATCTTTGCTGCAGATCGATTCGATCTAATCTTAATTATGATCCACCTACCGAATTTACACCCTGTCGTTTATTATACGAGGATCGCGATCGGCTATGTGAAAATAATATATTTGTCGTCTGGACGTGGAGCAGATGCGCCTTCTGTACAGGGTATACATACATTACGTAACACAGACTATTCGCATATGTGTATATACGTTGTTACGTAATACTCGTGTATTATGTAGTTATATATTATGTATGAGTACTTGAGGATATATCGAAAATGAATAAAAAGCGCCGGAGTATTTGTCTTCTGGTATCACGCAAGGCATAAGGTGGTCATCGATGGATCGAATGGTACCATAGCAGCTGCCTCTGGTTCCCACCGGCATCAAAGACCGGTGTAATCGCTTTCTCGAACTGGGGCCAACATAAAAATGATAGGATCAATCGTGATCTCGGATCCGACAGATAAATCTTGGAACTACAATTAATCCATAGATTAATCGAATACTGGTAACGTCTCTGAGCTACCAGGCGGAGCCTTGACGTCTCAAAGGAAGCTGTAATGAAGCCTCCTCGGAGGCTTTCTACGTTATTGTCAGTCAGAGATTGACGAATTATATTCCGAGCTATCCGACCTAACCTCATCTAAGTCAAGTCAATGGATTCCAATCTAAAATAAAGTAACGAGACTCGTTCGTTAATCCAAGGGTTATAAAGCAAGAGAAATCTTGTAAGAAATTAACATTCGAAGATGGCACGGTGGGATAAAGTGATTTCATCCGTAGGGGGGCTACACGCATATCACGCTTAAGGGTGGTTTGAGTCTGATGGGTTTCAAGGGAAGGAGTTGGCTCGAAGTGCTCCTCGGAGATTACAAGAAGGGGTTGCCAGTTTGTTGGTAAAAGTTATGTGAGCGTACTGACGCAAATACCCACCTTCTTCGAGGGAAAGGGAAAAAGGAAGGGTTGAAGAAGAGAGAAACGATCTTCATCCCCTGCCTTCGTAGGAGGAAGCCGAGTGCAGAATTCAGAGTGGCCCGAGACCTAAACAAGGACTGAAAAAATAAAAGGAATGGAATGGACACGCAAGTTAGTATGGTAGAAAGGAAAATGGCATCGGGACGATGC